ATTTTTTTCATGTTATAGTCATTGAATTTCAAGCAACAACAACAACAACAACAACAACAACAACAACAAAGCCTTTTCTCACTAAGTGGGGTCGGCTATATGAATCCTAGAACGCCATTGCGCTCGGTTTTGTGTCATGTCCTCCGTTAGATCCAAGTACTCAAGTCTTTTCTTAGGGTTTCTTCCAAAGTTTTCCTAGGTCTTCCTCTACCCCTTCGGCCCTGAACCTCTGTCCCGTAGTCACATTTTCGAACCGGAGCGTCAGTAGGCCTTCTTTGCACATGTCCAAACCATCGGAACCGATTTTCTCTCATATTTCCTTCAATTTCGGCTACTCCTACTTTACCTCAGATATCCTCATTCCCAATCTTATCCTTTCTCGTGTGCCCACACATCCAACGAAGCATCCTCATCTCCGCTACACCCATTTTGTGTACGTATTGATGCTTCACCGCCCAACATTCTGTGCCATACAACATCGCTGGCCTTATTGCCGTCCTATAAAATTTTCCCCTGAGCTTCAGTGGCCTACGACGGTCACACAACAAGCCGGATGCACTCTTACCCTTCATTCATCCAGCTTGTATTCTATGGTTGAGATCTCCATCTAATTCTCCGTTCTCTTGCAAGATAGATCCTAGGTAGCGAAAACGGTCGCTTTTTGTGATCTTCGCTAGATTGCTCCGGTCATTAGTGTGGATAAGTATATAAATGGATAGAGATAGGAAAGCAAACACAAGATGTACGTGGTTCACCCAGATTGGCTACGTCCACGGAATAGAGAAGTTCTCATTAATTGTGAAGGGTTTACACAAGTACATAGGTTCAAGCTCTCCTTTAGTGAGTACAAGTGAATGATTTAGTACAAATGACATTAGGAAATATTGTGGGAGAATGAGCTCGTAATCACGAAACTTCTAAGTACCGGAGTGTGGTATCGTCTTGACTTGCCTTATCTGTCTCATAGGTAGATGTGGCATCTTCTCTGGAAGTACTCTTCCTCCATCCAGGGGTGGTATCTTTAACTGGTGGAGATGCACAAGGTAATGTATCAATTTCACTTGAAGCTTACTTGTAGTTTCAGGCTTGGTCAAGCGCGATACAAACCATGTAGTAGGAGTTTCCCAAGTCGCCGAGCTAGGGGATCAGCTGAAAGAGGTGACAGACAAGGTAAGCAATCAGAGCTCCGGCTGATTGTTCACATTCTCCCTATCTTGCAGGCAGCATGAAGGATAAAGAGAAGAAAAATGAGAAGAGATGATATGGGATACTTTTGCTTTTGAAGAAGTAACTTTCCACATGCTTATTCTTGAACTGGGCTGGAGGGTTTTCTGGTTTCCTCCAGAGTATAAGGCCGACTGAAGAATTTGAGGGTCAAAACAAGTCCATCAAATCTAGAGTACGTTCGACCCTGCTGATATGGGATACTTTTGCTTTTGACAGAGTAGTGGATGTATCGGCACGTGTGCTGTTACGCTTGTCTCCACATGCTTCCTTGTATCCTTCTCACTTGCCCTATCTGTTCCTCAGGCAGATGCGGTATCTTCCCTGGAAGCATAAGATGTTGAAGATGAGTACTCGAGAGCAATGCCAAGTAAGTAATCAGGTAAGGGGTTCCAGGCAGTCAGTTCCTGGCTGGAAGCTTGATTCCAAGTGCTGACTGATTGCTCTCTTTCTCCTTGTCTTGCAGGTAAGAATAAGGCCAAAGGAAAAGACAGGGAAAAAGCATGATATGGGATACTCTTGCTTTTAACCCTGATGATATGAGATATTCTTGCTCTAGTATAGCTTGTTTGCAGAGGTATTATCGGGGGGAAAGAAAGCTAAATATTTCGAAAGGCTTCGTTGGGAGTGTCCTCTCAGATAAGAGGAAGGGTTGAGCATTTTTGCAGGTCTGCCTGTCCGTTGGGGATGGGGGTTGACATATATAGGAGTCTCCCTAACATCAAGTAATAATGCTATTCCTTTACCCTGCTTGGTCATAGCACGGTAGTAGGAGCTGCCAGCTTCACATGTTTTAACTCTGTCATAGCACTTTGAAAAAGTGGTCTGTGGTATCTGGAAAGCTGATGTTGCGTGTGAAGATTACAGACAAGCTTTATCCACAGAGATCCAGGAACAAACAATCCTGTCGGGGATCTGGCTCTCGAGATTCGGAGAACGATGCCTCTTCGATTTTTGAGAAAGCAATCCTGCTGGGGGTCTGGCTCTCGAGATTCGAAGAGCGGTGTCTCTTCGATTTTTGAGAAAGTAATCATGTTGGGAGTCTGGCTCTCGAGATTCGGAGGGCGGTGCCTCTTCGATTTTGGAGCAAGCAATCTTGTTGGGAGTGTTTTCTCGAATGTGAGTAAAGGTTGGGCAAGTTTGCTAGTTAACCTTACCACGAAGCACAGAGGTTGACACACATGGACTTTCTAATTATCCAGCAGTGGTAGTGTTCCTTTACCCTCTCTTCGATTTTTGAGAAAGTAATCATGTTGGGAGTCTGGCTCTCGAGATTCGGAGGGCGGTGCCTCTTCGATTTTGGAGCAAGCAATCTTGTTGGGAATGTTTTCTCGAATGTGAGTAAAGGTTGGGCATGTTTGCTAGTCTACCTTGCCACGAAGCACAGAGGTTGACACACCGGGACTTTCCAATTATCCAGCAGTGGTACTGTTCCTTTACCCTTGTAGGTAATAATATGGTAGCTAGACCTTCAAAATTTATGTGTCTAAACTTTGTTAGTGTTGTTTCTACCCTTCTTGGTCAGAGCGATGTAGTGGGAGCTGCAAGCTTCACGTGTCTCAACTTTGTCAGAGAACTTTGGCAAAGTTATCTGTGGTACCCATGAGCTACTGTTGTGTGTGGGAAGTGGGTGATTGAACAGTACGATTCATGTGCTTTCTACTTCACCAGAAATCTTCGACAGAATGCCCATAATTTCCGCAAAGCTGAGTGTGCGTGTGACAGGTGCTGACAAGGCTGGAAAAGTAGGTGCCTCTTCGATTTCTGAGATTGGCCCTCGTGGTCTCTGAGCAGCCCAGCTTTTGAGAAAGCAAGCCTCTTCGATTTCTGAGATCGGCCTTCGTGGTCTTTGAGCAGCCCAACTTTTGAGAAAGCAAACGTCTCTTCGATTTCTGAGATCGACCCTCGTGGTCTTTAAGCAGCCCAGCTTTTGAGAAAGCAAACGCCTCTTCGATTTCTGAGCAGGCGCCTCTTCGATTTCTGAAGCTTCGTCGAGTGCAGATTTTTATAGGGGCTGGCATTAAGTTCCAAAGCACACTTGAATCTCCACCAGTAGAAGCTCCATTCTTGCACTTCTAAGATCTTGATTTTTTCCGACCTCTTCTCTCTTCAACACCTTTGAAAATGTCTGGCCTCTCCGACCGTCGTTTTGACTTGAACCTTGTTGAAGAGGCAGCCCTGCCTTCTCCAGACAACATATGGCGCCCATCCTTCGTCTCCCCTACTGGTCCTCTTACCGTTGGGGATTCCGTGATGAAGAATGATATGACCGCTGCGGTAGTGGCCAGGAACCTTCTCACTCCCAAAGATAACAGACTATTTTCCAAACGGTCTGATGAGTTGGCTGTTAAGGATTCTTTGGCTCTCAGTGTTCAGTGTGCAGGTTATGTGTCTAATATGGCCCAACGCCTATTTGCTCGAACCCGCCAAGTTGAATCATTGGCGGCTGAAGTGATGAGTCTCAAACAGGAGATTAAAGGGTTCAAGCATGAGAATAAACAGTTGCACCAGCTCGCACATGACTATGCTACAAACATGAAGAGGAAGCTTGACCAGATGAAGGAATCTGATGGTCAGGTTTTACTTGATCATCAGAGATTTGTGGGTTTGTTCCAAATGCATTTATTGCCTTCGTCTTCTGGGGTTGTACCGCGTAATGAAGCTCCAAATGATCAACCTCTGATGTTTCCTCCTTCTAGGGTTCTGTCCAGTACTGAGGCTCCGAATGATCCCCCTCCGGTGCCTTCTCTTTCTGGGGCTCTACCGACTGCTGAGACTTCTCCTAAGCAACCTTTGTGAAGGCTCCCTCTTGTTTGTTTATTTTGACTCATGTATATGTACATATTTGTACCTTATCGGGGATATCAATAAATAAGTTTTCCTTCATTTCAACGTATTGTGTTAAATACACCAAAGCCTTCTTCGCTAAGTTCTTTGAATTTTCTTTTGTTGAAGCTTGTATGTTGAAGCTTTGTGAGTGAAGCATGTAGGTTGAGGTAGTGTTCCCTTAATTTCCCGAGTGAGGAAAACTTCTCGGTTGGAGACTTGGAAAATCCAAGTCACTGAGTGGGATCGGCTATATGAATCTTAGAACGCCATTGTGTTCTGTCCTGTGTCATGTCCTCCGTTAGATCCAAGTACTCTAAGTCTTTTCTTAGGGTCTCTTCCAAAGTTTTCCTAGGTCTTCCTCTACCCCTTCGGCCCTGAACCTCTGTCCCATAGTCCCATCTTCTAATCGGAGCGTCAGTAGGCCTTCTTTGCACATGTTCAAACCACCGTAACCGATTTTCTCTCATCTTTCCTTCAATTTCGGCTACTCCTACTTTACCCCGGATATCCTCATTCCTAATCTTATCCTTTCTCGTGTGCCCACACATCCAACGAAGCATCCTCATCTCCGCTACACCCATTTTGTGTACGTGTTGATGCTTCACCGCCCAACATTCTGTGCCATACAGCATCGCCGGCCTTATTGCCGTCCTATAAAATTTTCCCTTGAGCTTCAGTGGCATACGGCGGTCACACAACACGCCGGATGCACTCTTCCACTTCATCCATCCAGCTTGTATTCTATGGTTGAGATCTCCATCTAATTCTCCGTTCTTTGCAAGATAGATCCTAGGTAACGAAAACGGTCGCTCTTTGGATAGATACGAAAAGGAACATAAGGAACTGACAAATTAATATGCGAAGGAACAATTCACAACTAAAAATGAGGAAGTAGATGACAGGAACATATCATTCATGGACTCAAAGATAAAGTTAAATTTAGAAGAAACTAAACATCAGGTATTTATAGATTGCATAAATAGCTGAAAGTGAATAAGTAAGCAGAAAAACAATTTTCAGATTCCCTACTAATATTAAACCATTCATAAACTACAAATATCATATTGTGCAGAAGTACATGAGCGATGTGAGAAATCTTTGGCCAATCGTCCCCTCTCTCTTTCTGGCACCTTTGTGTGAGCAAAGGACATTTGTCGATACCCAAATCAGAAAGAGAAGTGGGAAGGCCTTCTGGCAAGCACTCGAGTTCATTGCACCCATCAATGAACAAATGTTGAAGAGCAGTGAGGTTTCGAAAACCCTTAGAGTCCAGGATCTTAAGATTTGGACTATTGAAGATGCAGAGAGTAGTCAAAATGGTAGGCAGAAGCCCCTCCTCCGGAAATGATACAACGTCTTCACATTTGTCAAAGCTGAAAGCCAAGCATCTGAGACAGATGAGCCTATCCAGACCCCAGTGCATGCGGTTGGCAATGAGTTTTTTGGATCCAAAGATACGCAACATATCCAAATTTGAAGGCAGTCCTCCTTCAGGAAATGACTCTAGTTCAGAACAATAGGCTAGATTTACAGCTTGAAGAGATGAGAGCCTGGTGCACATATGTTCTGGCAATGACCTCAATTTATCGCATTCAGATATATTAAGCACTATCAAGTTGGGGGCGTACAGTCCTCCATCAGGAAAAGAAACAAAATTTGGGCAATTAAATATTCTCAAGAAACTGAGGGACGGGATTATAGGGCTTTCAAAATCCTGGGAATAAGCAAGGGATTCCAGATTCCTACAGTCATATAATTTGAGATCTTTAACCTTTGGGAAGTAGTCCAGCGGGATAGACTTGGTTGAATCACAGCTACTCTTTATCTTCAATGTTTGAAGGAATGCATAGCAGTGATTTAGTGGAGATAAGTTCCAACAATTTTTTATTTTAAGAACTCTTAAAGCATCAGCCAGACCGTCACAAGGAAATGGAGTAAGAGATGAGTTAGTACCGCTAGTTTTCTCTTCAAGACAAAGGTTGTCTTTCACAGAAGGAATCTCCACAATGGCCCGAGTTCTTGGAAGTGCACCCAGAAGTTGCTCGCATCTCCTTAACTCAAGTGTAATCAAGGATGGAAGAAACTCAGGTAATTTCTCTATTAGCTTGGGACAATTTGTCAGATAGAGCTGACAAAGATGAGGAAAAGCTCCACCTTCTTGGCTACTTCCGAAATGAGACCACTCTTGCCATCCCAACATATCTTTGAAGAATAAAACTGATAGAGATCTAAATGGCATAACAACAGAAACACCATTACCATAAAACTCAGGCCCTATGGTCTCCACTTCATTTAACCCACAAACATAAAGCGTGACGAGGGAGGGTAGCTGACCCAGTGGTGGCAAGGAGCAACAATGTTTACAATCTTCGAGTTGAAGAGAAACCAAATTAGAAAAAGAATGATCTCCTAACCAATCAGGAAATCTTGTACCCCCATAAAACTTAAGACTGAGGGCTTTCAGGTGTGTATGAGGATGGAGATTATTAAGCACCTCTCTATCTTTTTGTGAATCATCGGTCTCAGCTCCCCATGTCAAAGCTAGTCCGTCAAGGTGCTTATTTCTCATATTGGCTACAAAAGCATCCTCATAATTCACAATATTATGAAGCCCTGAAATAGCAAGTGTACCTACTATCTGAAGCTCTTTCAACACTACAATTCTAGGTGCAGTTTGTTTGCCAACAACAAAGTCACTCAATGTGTGGAGATCCTTCAACTTATCCATATGTGGTGGCATCTCTTTTAGATTAGTGCTTCTAACATCAAGATGGCGCAAGTTGATGAGTCTCCCCAAGTTGATTGGCAACTGAGCAAGTTCATAACAATTGAACAAGAGCAACGTTTGTAGATTATGCAAAGTACATATTGTTTCAGGTAACTTTTCAAATCCACCGTATGACAAGTCTATATACCTTAGGTGTTTTAAATTGCCAATCCAATCAGGCAACTCCTTGTTGTCACAATGAGATAAAGAGAGCACTCTCAAACAATACACAGTTTGTAAGAGATCATGAGGTACCTTGTTGAAACAGAAAATTCTCGATAATGGTTTAGGTTGTATTGCTAGGAAGGTGCGCAAATACTTGGCTTTGCATAAAGCTTCAAATTTATCAAAACCAGAAATCTCCTCCTTTGCAGTCGCATGAACACCTACACCAAGTCTTTTGAAGGGGTTATTCAGAGTGTATGAGAGATGACGAGTCTTGCTTGAAACATTATTGAATGAGTCACTATCATCCAACCTAAAACAAAATTCTCTTGATACAAACTTTGCTAAATCATTGATAAGGTCGTGCATGGTAAAAAGTGATTGGTCATCAGACTCATCATCTGAATGCTGAAAAAATGACCTCGATATTAAATCATCAAAGTACTCCCCTCCAACGTCTTCCATCATTTTCTTTCTTTGGGGTGACAAAAAACCTTCAGCCATCCACAACAAAACTAATTCTGATTTTCCAAATTTGTAACCTTTGGGGAAAATCGAACAATAGGAAAAACATCGTTTTAGATGAGAAGGAAGATGATGATAACTTAATCTCAAAGCTGGAAGAATGGTATCATCTTGCAAGTCCCATATTTCACTCTTCAATATTTCATCCCACTCCTTGTAACTTTGTTTACAGCACAACAAACCCCCAAGAGACTTTGCAGCTAAAGGAAGACCTTTACACTTCTTAATTATTCCGCTACTGATTTCTTCTAGAGTTGGATGCACAGCTGAGTTTATCCTGCCGAAGGCATGCTTGGAAAATAACAACCCACAATCTTTTTCAGATATGTGGTTTAGATGATAAGTTGTGACAGTACCCATCATTGATGCAACACGTTGGTTACGTGTAGTCACAATGATCTTACTTCCGTGTGCGACAGACTCAAAAGAACACCGCAACGCATCCCAGTGAATATAATTCTCGTTCCATACATCATCATGAACAAAGAAACATTTCTTTCACGTCAAAGCCTCCTTGAGTTATTCTAACAACATCAAATTCTTCTGAAACATAAACCCATGCTTGCAAGTCAAAATGTTGCTTCACTCTAGCATCGTTGTATACGAGCTGCGCAAGGGTGGTCTTTCCGATGCCACCCATTCCCACAACCGGAATCACACTCAACTTACTGCCATTCGCATCATCGGATAGCAATAGCTTCACAATGGCCTCCTTGTCCTCATCCCTACCGTACACACCGTCCTCTTCCACCAAAGAAGTGGTAGATAATCTGGATTGTGATCGCTGATTTGGAACACCCTCTTTCAAACCAAGCACATCTTTCTCATTTACAATAAATTCTAACCTCTCAAGCATTTTTACAATCTTGGGTTCCATTGTTTTGTCAAATTCATCGGAACTGGAGATCCGTACCTGACTTTTGCTGCTGCTGGATTCATCGCCTTCGAGCTTTCGCCGCAGAGCTTCAGCCTTGATCTCATCAAGCAGGTCGTCTGCAGCATACAGAGCATCTTTGAGTTCGTCGAGCCACTCCCTCACAGCTGGGTTTTTGAATTGCTTCTCCTCCGCATCATCGAGCACCGAATTAACTGAAAGCAGCTTAATCTTCAACTTATTGAGCAGTCCGCTGTTGATCTTCTGTCCACGGAAGAAGTCGACGACGGGACGGGAGGCCAGCCTATCAAACAAGACGTTGAGAAAGGAAGAGAGAAAAGCGCCGCCCACAATTGCCCCCGCCATGGATTTCAATCTTCCGATGGATGGGAAGTTGAAAGATTGAGAAGAAAATGGACTCCCAATTAGGGCTGGGTTCGGTTCTTATCGGTTCGGTTTTTTGCCAAAACCGAAACCAAACCGAAATTTCGGTTCGGTTCGGTTCGGCCCAAATTTTTTTCGGTTTTTTTCGGTTCGGTTTTTTTTTCGGTTCGGTTTTTTCGGTTCGGTTTCGGTTTTTTTTCGGTTTTTTTTTTTCCTCCAAAAAATGCAAAACAGCCACAACAAATCCAGGGTTCAGCAGCAGCATACCCAAAACAAATTAATCAAACCGTATGTACTCTCACAAATTAATCAAACCTCAACTAATAGTCTAATAGTGTTCATAAATGAAGTTACCTAACCAAATCCAGCATACCCAAAACAAATTGCAAAACCATGAAATTTAGAAGCTACAGATCAAATTCATCAGAAGTTCAGAACCAACGAAATTGAAAAAAAAAAATATGCAAACGAAAATTAACCAACAACACAACACAAAAACAAAAACAAAACCAAATTAAAATCAACCAAACGAAAAAAATAAATACAACCAAACGAAAAAAATAAAACACAACCAAATTTAAATCAACCAAATTAAACACAACCAAACCAAAAAAAATAAATCTTTTTTTTAAATTAATAGTTAAAATAAGGAAGAGATTGAACCGATTCGAACTCCCTCTGCCATCCTCCTCTCTGCTTCCGATTCGAAAGGGGGCGAGGGAAAATTATGATTTGGATGAACGAATCCGCGAGGAGAACAGGAGAAGATTGGAGAGAGAGAGAGAGAGAGAGAGAGAGAGAGAGAGAGAGAGAGAGTGAGAGAGTGAGGAAGCAGAGAGATAGGAGGAAAGTAGCGGAGGGGAGAGAGAGAGTGTATGAGAAAAGGCTAAAACTGAAATGGAAGAGAGAGTGACGGCTAGGGTTTGTAAACTTAAGAAATTTTATAAAGCATTACATATTAGAAACCTATAAATATATTTCGGGTACGATTATAACAACATAAGCCCACAGTCAAGTTGTCTTGAAACAGCCATCCCAACCTCTAGGTCAGGGGTTCAAACCCTGACGCCAACACATTTTTTTAGTATTTATATTTTATATATAAATTATTTTTTTTTCGGTTCGGTTCGGTCCGGTTCGGTTTCCGAACCTCAAAAACCGAAACCGAACTGACCAAATTCGGTTCGGTTCGGTTTTGGCAGTTTCGGTTCGGTTTTTTTTCGGTTCGGTTTTTTTCGGCTTCGGTTCGGTTTGGTTTTCGGTTTTTTTCGGTTTTCGGTTTTTTGAACCCACCCCTACTCCCAATTTCTCAGATAATGGAGAATAGCTTAGCGTTGTTGCAAAGCTTTCTGCTTTTCAAATGTTAACTTGACTGTTGGGTGAAAGGCGGGGCCACGTGTCCCCGGATTGTTTCGCCGCGTGTCCCTTGGTTACATTTTCTAATAAGCATGCCCTTGAGCTTTGGGTCATTGCTAAGTAGGGTTGGAAAAAAATCCCAAAAATCCCAAACCGAACAAAAAAATTCCAGAAACCAAATCGAAAAAATCCCAAACCGAAATTCCCGAAAATTTCAGTACCCAATACCAAACCGATTCCGAAATTTTGGTACGGGAATCGGTCTCAAGTTTTTGGGATTTCGTATTCCCAAACCGAACCAAAAAAAATTATATATATATATTGTTTAATTTTTAAATATATATTTAGATTTTTAATAGCTGTCGGATTCTGTTGAGATTTAATCTCAACCATTGAATATAAATTTGATTATTTGATACCTTGCCCCTCCTTAATAATTCTTCATCTGGATGGTTCACATATGCATTGAGATGAAAGATTCATGTGCTATATAGAAATTTAAGCTCGCGTATTCTTTTTTATGCTACAATTGTACTTACTGGTGTACACAGACTTTCTTTTTCCTTCCATCCATTATTAAATCCATTTTTACTTAATGGTGTACACGGACTCAAATTTGTGCACAAATTAGTACAAACATGCATTGCCATTTGATTGGCAGATTAGTAGAAACAATGGATGGAGTGACCACCCCCGCGAGAGGAATTACGATTCTGGGAGGCCGCCATAGCTTGAACGGAGTGATCAACATGAGGAGTCGGATCAGTAAGACGCAACTCAGCAGAGAGGAGGAGGGCTTCCAAATCAACATAAGAAATTGGGTTTTCACGAGCTTGGGCAGCAGCAACGGTATTTTCGAACTTGGGGCCAACATTGGACATGATCACAGCAACAAGATCGGCATCAGTGATTGGCGACCCAACAAGCGCCAGACTATCAACAAGAGAGTGGATGCGATCCAGATAGTCAGCGATGGAGGAATCACCACGCTTGGTTTGGAAGAAGGCTGTACGAAGTTGGATGATGCGACTCTGATTGTGAGACGCATATCGGTGTTGCAAAGCAACCCAGACATCACGAACAGATTGGTAACGAGCAGTTGCAGAGAGAGCCTGTAGGCCAAGAGACCCATTGATACAAGAAAGAACCAATTGATCTTTCTGAATCCAATCCTCATAAGCAGGATTGACATTGGTGGTGAGGTTTCCAGTATCATCCTTGAGAAAGTAGGCAGGGCATTCGGAGGATCCATCAATAAAATGCATCAGACGACGACTTTTGAGAACGGGTACAATCTGAGCGAGCCAGAGAGGGTAGTTGGTGGTATCAAGTTTGAGAGTAATGGCGTGGGAAACATTGGGGAGGGTGGAAGAATCTATAGAATGAGGAGTATTGGTAGTGGCAGCCATGAGTAGAAAAAAAAAAATAATGGACGATGAGTCAAGGGCTCTGAGATACCATAAAAGATTAAGTATTATCGAAGATAAAGGACACAGGTTTTGGTTGAATGTTTAGGATGATCTTCCATTGATCTCAATACAGGTATTTATACAATTTCTTAGAGAGTTTATAGGGGTTGACAAACTGTACAAGGAAAGATTTTACAATTGAATATGTGCATACAATCAGGAAGCTTAATAAGGTAAATGAATGTGATCATGATTTCATGGGCTGATGAGCTTGATTCCCTCCATCTTGTCTATCAATCCGGTGGTTGTCTCATATATACATCCTCATTTAGATACCCATGCAAAAATGAATTTTGGACGTCCAACTGTCGAACATGCCACTTCTTGGAAACTGCAAGACTTAAAACAAGTCTAATGGTGCTATGCTTGACAACAGGACTGAAGGTCTCCTTGTAATCCATCCCTGGTTTCTGATGAAAACCATTTGCCACAAGCCTCGCCATATGTCTCTCAATCGAGCCATCTGCACGTCGTTTGATCTTAAACACCCACTTATTTGGCAATAGATTCATGCCACTAAGATAAGGGACATGATTCCAAGTGCCACACCGCTGCAAGGCACTGAATTCCTGGGCCATCGCAGTCCTCCATGTTAGATGAAGTCTGTTGAAAAGATTATGAGAAGATTATTCTAATGGCTTATTCTAATGGGAGCCATTTTCTTCTGTCAAAGATGCTCCACTCACAGTGCATCGTGGACAGCAAGGGTCTTCACATGGACTGCAGCATTGTGGACAGCAAAGATGCCTCTTCCAATATTTCTTTATTGCATGCGTGTGTAATATGATGTATATAAATATCTGCTGCTATTGCAGCAGAATGTGTGGATAGAAAATATTCAATCCATTTTTAATATGGTTTCTAGAGTTTTTTTTTGTCTAACGACAGCGATCCTAGTTTCCTATCCTTCCCATCCTCGCTTCCATGGCTGAAAACAATGTTCCCGCTAGTTCATCCACCCTCCCAAACAACTCTTTTCATCCGTTTTCCACTGTTGTTAATATCAAACTTGATAGAACCAACTACCCACTGTGGTTGGCTCAAATACTCCCTATCCTAAAAAGTAGGGACCTGATGGGATATGTTGATGGCACGCTGGTGTGTCCTCCAAAGAATGTGACTGGTGTAACCACTCTGAACCCAGCGTACACTGCCTGGGTACAACAGGATCAAATGATCCTCAGTTGGATAAATGGTTCTCTAACTGCCTCTGTCTTGTCTGTGGTGGCAAGCAAACGAACTGCTCGAGCAACCTGGGAAGCTCTTGAGCAAAGGTATGCCTCTACTTCTCAAAATAGAATTTTGTTTTTTTGAGAAATGAGTTGTTGCAGACCAAGAAAGGTGATCTATCTGTGGCGGATTACCTGGATCGCATGAATGCGATAGCTGATAACCTTGCCCTAGCTGGGCATCCTGTGAGTGATGATGAGCTCGTGCAGATTGTGTTGACCAATCTTGGACCGGCCTTTGAGATGACAGTAAGTGCTGCACAAGCTCGTGATAATCCTATCACGTATCCCACTCTTGAAGCACTCCTGCTCACAACCGAAAGAAGAATGGCGGACCAAACTGTCCCTTTGGTGGAAGGTGCTACTGTCACTGCCTTCATTGCGTCTAGAGGCCGTGGTGGAGGCCGCTCTTGTGGAAATGGACGAGGCACCTCTCCATCCACTCGTGGTGCTCAAAGAAGCTACAACCCACGCAATAATAATTATCAGCGCAATCCTTCAGGTAATATTGAAAGATCTGCTTCATATGGTGATCGCATTGTTTGCCAAATCTGCGGCAAACCTGGACATCCCGCTCTTGACTGCTACCACCGCATGAATACTGCTTTTGAAGGCCGAATCCCTGCCCAACGTCTCTCGACAATGACGTCCTCCACCATCCCCATCAACAAGCAGCAAAATGGAACTTGGCTCCTGGACACAGGTGCCAACGCACATATTACTCCAGACCTTCAGAATTTGGTAAATCCTAAAGACTATACTGGTAAAGATGGTGTGGGAGGTATAGGCAATACTTCTGGAATTTCTATTGCACATTGTGGTTCAACTCAACTTAATACTACTGCTTGCTCATTTGCTTTACAAGATATCCTTCATTGCCCTACTGCTTCTACCAATATCATCTCCGCCCATAGGTTCACCTTAGACA